CAGAAAGTTAAATTAGAGGAAAAAGATAAGAAATTATTAAATGGTTATTGCTGGTCTTTTGTTGGTTAGACCTTAAAGAAACCTTGATTTGGGGGTGTTATTAGTCTAAATGCTTTTGTATTCGTAGCATTTTGGAAAACAGGGGTTAAATCCCCTCACCTCCACCATTATACCCGATAATCTTTATTCATTAGTTATTTTTTGAATTCTGGTGATTATAGCGTATTTTTGGGAGAATAACTCAGCCTCGTCAAGAAGAAATTATTATTTTAACGCTAATTGCCAGAATTGAGAGGATAATTTTTATTTGACAGATATTTTGATTATTCTCTCCGAGGAAGAAGAACCTCGTTAACAAATTGACAGGTTACTTATGAAAGATAAGTGATAAATTAGGTGACCTCTTGTTTAGCAATAAGCAACGAGGCTGAGGGATGTTAGAAACAAAAATTTCTAGCATGGGCTAAATGAAAAACAAGCCCTAGACAGCTTGCTGGAAAGCTGAGAGAATTCCAGTTCAGCAGAACAAGAGTTTTTAAAGGTTCTTTTGGATAAAAAATAAAAACCGAAAGTTAGAGGAGAGGGGTTATTTTTTTATTTACTCCTCTATATATTTAATTTCTGCTGAATAAGAGGGTAGGGTTATTATTTTCTCTTCTCAACGCTAAGGCGATATTCAAAAAGGAACCACACTCTATATGTAGAAACCAACTAAAAAGCATGAAAGACTATCAACTAACTAAAACAGAAAGCAGATATTTAAAGATCTTAGGCAAAAAACATATTCTTTTACCAACTAAACACAAAAAACCTTTGGTGAAAGACTGGAACAAATATTATGCAGAACATCGAAACATTGAACAATTATTAGAAACTAATCAAGAATACTCTTTAAGAACCGGAACTCGGATCGGCAATTATTATTTTATTGCCCTAGATTTAGATGATTTATGAGCTAAAGAACGGATCAAAGATAGCCGTTATGTGGAAACTAACAAGGGTATTCATCGTTACTTATTAATTAAAGAACTTCCTAAATCCTGTTTTTTAATTGATGGTGACACTGGCCAAAGAATTGGTGAATTACATTCTAAAGGTCGTTTTGTAGTCGGAATAGGAAGTATTCACGAAAAGGGAACTCGGTATACCTTAAAAGGAAGGGTTAATGTTAAGTTTAGTTTGAAATTTGAAACTTTGCGAGAATTACAACAATTCTTAAAAGCAAGAAATATTTTTACTACTCCTTGAGGTAAAAAAGGTTTAGACAATATAAGAGATTTGGAACTTTATAAGCAAAATAACTAATATATGCCAAAAACCAAGTCTACCATTACCGGTAAAAATCAACTAATTGAAAGAATTGCTAAAAAAATTAAACTCACTAAAAACCAAATTGACCAAGTTGTTACTAATTTCTTAGCCGAAACCAAAACTGCCCTAGTCAAAGGTGAAGAAGTTCGCTTATTAGGTTATTATACTTTAAAAACTACTATGACTTCACCAAGAATAGCGATGAACCTCCAAACTAAAAAGAAAATGAAAGTTCCTAGTAAAAGAGTTCCTAAATGTAAGTTTAGTGAAAGTTTAAAAGGAGATATTGCCAAAAAGAAGTAATGAACCTTACTAGAAATATTAAATCCACGATCAACCAAAGAAAAGAACTGTTAGATAAAAACGGTAATCAATAC